TATCAGGGATGTATGGAATTCTTCCTGTGGAAATGTTTACCAAACCGTCCAACCGACTTGGGTTGCGTTTCGTGAATATGCCTCAGCCACTACAGAGCAGATTAAGATGCATCTTTATTCATTACATGCCGCCTGTGTTGAACAAAAGCAGTTCATTCAAGACAAACTAGATACCCTGAGTGGCCATTCTTCCGCTGGCCGAGCGTTTGTGAGAGCAATATACATGGTGGCCATGTTTTTCCTGATCTCTGTCGCAATTGAATGCGCTTATTACTCCAGGCCAATTTATTGGAAGATTGTTGGATTCTCTGTTCATCTTCTGTACCTGGTTTTCATTTTCATCTTCCAATTTACGTGGATGGTCTTGATGACTATCGGTGTCGTGTCGACAATGAATTTCGTCTTTGGTGGGTTCATCGCCCTAGCGTTACGCAGTTGGTTTATGGAAGGTGTGAATCTCAACTGAAATACATCGCGATTGAATAATACGCGACTTATAATTGATGTTAAAGTTTTGCAATTGATGGAAATCAAGAAAAACGTCATATGATTGCTCTCAAGACAACAGAAATATATTAATAATGATAATAGTAGTAGTAATAATAGAAGAGCAATAGTTACAAATGAACGCTAAAAAACTCGATGATGATTCGTGACTCTAGCGTGACTGATAAGCGATAGCACACAAACTGTCATTTTGGTCATCAGCTGTCATCTGCTGAGTCAAATTTTACTGTAATTAAGTTTTTATTTTTTTATAGAAAGCTGTCTAAAAAATAAATCAAGACAAAATGTGGGGGCGAACGAAAAAACGGTCCTCGCATAAAACATAAAACAAGAAAAGCCCGTACACGACTCAAAAGAATTTTAAGGGCGCAAACGCGGGTCGATGGCGTCATATTTTGCGCGGATTTACTTTCTAAATGTTATTGGTCGATAATAGAGCAGAGTAAAATAAAAAAAAAGTGTACGCCGAGTTAATTTTAACGAGGGCTACATTCTGCACAAGCATGAAATCACCATGCCGATCCAAACAGCCAAATGTTTTTACGTAAAGATATATAAGTGACTCAGATCTGGAGGTGATTGTCTGTTCATCTGTCTACTCCTTTGTTTATCTGTTTTCAAGTTATTGTTTTTAAGCATTTCATGGTTAAACTTGTCATATCATTCACAGTGAACTCGAAGAATCGCAGGATTCAACGTTTAGATTTTACTCACGCTAATCTTGTGACTACCAGCCACTTCACGCACGCTTCACGTGCATCTCTTGACGTTTTTTAATGAATATTTCTAAGGCCAGCTAGCTTATTTGTATTTTCCTTTTGGATCACTTTTTGGTTCTTGTGAGTTAGAATTTAAGAAATCAGGCGTATCTCGAAGTATCTTTCTCCTCTTTCCTAAGGCCAACGCGGAACATTTATCATTTGACCAGCAGAAAGAGGAAAACTACTGCGCGCGCTAAATCATCTTACGTATGTTTCAAACGATTAAGATTTTATTCATTTCCTCGTGTTTTAATCAACAAAATTTCAAAATTGAGACACATAATCAGGGCAAAAACAGACAATTGTCGAGCAAATATCGCATCCACCCAAATTAGCAGGTGTAACAAAATCATTCACTTTTGCTCTAAAACGTCTACAAAACGTCTACAAATTTCATCAAAATTATACACATTCTGAGTGAAAGAACAAATAAAAGACTCCCTAGCAGTTTTTCTTTTAACCCTAAAGCAAACTTTCATTATTAAATGACAACTGGCTGCCACTACGAATTAATTTCTACCTTATTTAATAGATTTAACACCATGGTCAGGACTGGCCATTAAAGTTGTAACATCTCGCTTTTTCTTGCTGAGATGGAACCGAAATTCTCTTACAAACTACACACTGGGTATGGCCGGTAAGGATTACTGCGTTGTACCGCACTTGGTCTTCTGCTTAATCTTTCAATAAACACCGCATCCTTGCGATTGGGTGCAGTGTATACTCGTAGACGGCATTTAGTCGTAATAGACTTCTATCTGCGATGCTGTATCGTGTAAATAGAGCAACCAGGACTGTTTTACAGCAAACAACAGACCTAACTGCACAGTAATAAAATCAGGCAAAAGATTTAGAGCTAAGCGGAGGAATTAAATTTTTTACTCCAATTTTTTTTTAAAGTCAGTAATGCACGAAAACGTGGAGATAAAGGAGTTCGACCCTAAAACGATTCAGTGAATGCATTTTTACGTCACATGATCATGCAAACTTTTTTCCTTTTTCCTTTTTCCTTATTCCTTTTTCCTCTATTTGTGTTATTTGCACCTGTTTTTGGAGATCCACTCGACCAAGATGTAGAACCAAGCCCACTATAAAGGGAAGTGTGAGAGCTTGCACGTCTCGGTTGGGGTCTTGCTGCCCTATATCCAGTGTGTATGTTCGACTGAGCAGATGCAGCTGGAGCTAAATAGGTACTACTGTTGCCGGCAGGTAGGCTCGGTTTAGATACTGTGCTAAGGCTATTGAGGGAAGGATGAGAACCTGCAGGTTTCAGCCGGGGTCTTGCTGCTGTATTTAGAGTGGTTGCCTTCGGCTGAGCATATACAGCGGGGGCTAAATAGCTGCTATTGTTGCCGGCAGGTAGGCTCGGTGGAGGAACTAGGCTAACGATATCAATGGAAGGGTGAGAACTTGCAGGTTTCAGCTGGGATATTCCTGCCGTATTTCGAGTGGGTGCCTTCGGCTGAGCAGCTACGGTGGGAGCTAAATTGCTGCTTATGTTCCTAGCAGGTTGGATCCTTTGATAATATGTGTCGAGGCTATTAAGGGAAGAGTTAGGTTTCGGTTGGGGTCTTGAGGTATTTAGAGCGAGTGTTTCCGGCTGGGCAGAGGAGTATTGGATTATGTATTCTGGGTATAATTGATCTGTGTCGAAGACCACAAAGATTGTGGGATTGGACTTGTTATTTACACAAGAGTCGTACAAATCGCTAGCGGGGTTTGATGGTTGCTTCAGCGGTGGTCTTCGATAATTGGAGCGACCTAGTGCATAAGAACCAACGAGAACTTTGGTCAAGAACATGAATTGAGACATATTGCCATCTCTCTTTGCATAGGAATGGCTGTATGATGCACTCACTGCAAAATAGCTACCTTCACCATAGTTACACGCGTTTCTTCCGTGCAGACGCCAATCAAAGTTTTGTTTGCAGATGGCCTCCACCGAGTCTGGAGTGGTTCCATGAAACAAGTTCTTCTCGTTAACAGCCTGTGGATCCCTCCCTGCTCTTAGGCTCATGTTCTCTTTCTTCCTAACAAGAGGAAACAAAAGGACTTACTGTAGGTGACAAAAGATAATGGCCATTGCTGATCATTCATTTGCCCCTAAATTCCAATCTTGAAGTGTCCTGAGTTTTACCCACAAGAGTCCTCCAAGTATTTAAGGAACTTTATTTAGAGCAAAATGATTGATTGTCAATATAGTTATTAAAAATGTCATGCCAAGTGTACACGTTCTATTCAATTTCCCTACATTTAAATATATGAATTTATTATATGGAAGGGAGTGTATTACCGGGAACTAAAACACTCGTAAAAAATCAATGCGGCTACCACATCCGGGAACTAAGTGGCATATTTTTCGTAAGTAACACGAATGGTCATATTGAGAAACGACGTCACGATCACCGCCTTTTACAACTTTGCTGAATGAACTTGGTTTTTTGTTTGGAATAATGCCCATCGCAAGATGAAATTGCATTTTCCGAACAACAAGAGAATGAGAACACAAAAAGAAAACGCCGTATGATCTAAAGACTTTCAAGGAATTCTCGAAAGTTGTGACGAGAAAAAGGTAGATCTTTGTTCTGTTCGTGCTGAACAGCCTTGAAAGGTTCGCACAGTGAACTTTTTATAATTTGAGGACCGGGTATTTTGTTTCCATTTATACTCAGTATTTGTATCAAAGGAAGCTTTTCAATTTCTGTCATGTATATTTATTGTCCATAAGATAAAAAGGGAATCACACGTTAGCTCAAAGATATGAGTTTTATATTCTCGTAGAACAAATTATATCTCACACGCTCGCTGCGCTCACGCATGAGGTATTTCTTTGTGACTCGGAAATAAAATCCATATCGTCTCTCCACCGTGTAATATCCTTTACATCGAAATTTTTATCAATACTTTGTGCAAGTTTATGGCTCTAGAACTCCCTTCTTTCATTTTGAATATTTTCATATACAGTTTTTTCCAAGTTATTTTTTCTTTTTCACCTGCAATACTTTTCCCACATAAAAGGGTTCTGTACACGCTCGATCCTTTCAATCGAAGTGTGGTTGTTGATCGACTTTTGGAACAACTGTTCCACTTCTTTATATTCCTGCGATGATGTCGTTAACGTGACGCGAATATACTGCGTATCGGGTGGCATGGAAGACCAGTGTTTTGGAACATTATACATGGCCGTTCTGTTTTCTATCTTTCTCATTCGTTTCTCCTTTCTCCTTTCTCCTCCTATTCTCTCTTCGTAAGCCCTAAAAAAAATGGAAAAAGATGAAAAAACTTGTAATTAAAAATATCATGAAACATGGTGATCCCCATTTCTTTCCCTCCCCGTCCAGCACCACGTAAGCTTGTTGAAAATAAAGAGCTCCCGGTAACAGTCTTTAGACTGTTAGTTGTTCAAAGCGTTTATATTTCGTGGTGCGTGATAGTTTTCGTGGCTTTAGCGACGTTTATCTTCCGTATCACTGAAGAACGGAATGAAGTAAAAGGGGGGAAAACCAAAGAAGGAATAAAAGGTTACTCATCATTTGGATTTCTACACGCTGACAACGATAAAACCGCAATATGTACATACCGTATCAAGTCTTTAATGTCCTCGTTTG